CCTAAATAATAATATAGGTAATATACCTAATGTATTTATAAGGTAAACATTAGTGTGCTTATGTTTTTATAATGCATTTAAGATTGGATATAGCGTTATAATAAAATTGATATATGGTACTTGGGGTGTGGGGGCATAGCCCCCACGGGTCTGTTTCATCYACATAATTTTAGCACCCCCAGTGTTTGGCCTCTAGTTGCGCCTATGAGTATGCGGCCAGTAAATTCAGTCCATTCGTCCAACTAGGCAAAAGTAATAGGTACATGTTATATGTATAAGTACTAGATACCATCGTCCGCCAAGGCCCAAGGGCGCCCATAGTTAAATTCTCAAGGGGCGGACAACATTTTAATTTTTCAATCTATTTATAAAAAGGAATGACCACGAGGTAGGAAGGAGTTTACAATTTTACATTATATAATATATCAAACTGGAAAATTAGAAAATAATAATTATTTATCCAATTAACCATAAAATTAATTTATTGAAATATTGATTTAGTTAATAATAAAAATTGGACACTTAAAACATTAATTATATTTGTTAAAATATTAATTTACAAATAAAAATTGTAAATTTCTTTTTTCAACGCCAAATATATTTATTACTTGTTCTACATATTCATTCTCTAACTAAATAAACCAATTTTTCATAAACAAATTTCAGATTTTCATGCTATATTAAATTAAATTTTTAAATTCTATTTAAATAAATAGATTCTGATCACAGTTAACAATTTTTCAAGATTTTTGACATTTTCCAGGAGGGGGGCATGTTCCGCCATGGCCCCTCCATCATATGTGCGTCCTTGCCGTCCACCAATATAGCAATAAGTACTTATGAGTTATAAATTATAATATAATAATATGTATAGTTGATCCGATTTAAGTTTGATAAATGGGCGGTAGGTATAGACGATTGATGTTGCCAAAAYAGTTTTTACTTTTTAATAGATATAGGGCTGGTTCTTAAAAATCACCGATTCCGATTTTGGTCCGGTTCCTAAAATTTTACTTTTGGTTATCGACACCAATTAAAAACTTTTTATTTATATTCAATGGTACTATTATGAAAAATTTTTATTCAAGYATTTAGGTTTTTTTGTTGAAGAGCACCAATATCCTAATWTTGTTTTTGGATTAGTCTGTTCACAGGTAATATATAGATAATTATCATCATTCGATAATAACACATTTTAATAATATACGAATGTTGATGGCATGGCGTCTAGGATAGGCAATTTAGCTACACCAGTGTCGTGGACATCTTTTCGCTATCTTAAAATAATCATTATATGGGTTATAATAACATATTATATTTATTTTTATAATAAGTATAATGACATTTTTTAAATACTTTGATTAATTTTAAGCTATTACATATTTGTACCACAAATTAGCCTGTACACACTATTTGGCAGTATTTAGGTTGATATTTACTCAAAATGTAACAACAACAATGCATGCTATAAATAATTTAAATAATTCATACTGTTAAAATAATTAAATATTGATAATGCAAAAATTCAATGTTATCGAGAAAACTAAACAAAATACCATATTTCTTATACTAAAAGTAAATTATTTTAATAGCGATATGAATATATTATCATAAAATATACTTACATAGTTACATATAGTAATATAGGTGACAAATAGTCTTCACTCGGAACCGTTGTTTGTATTTTGTATTTGGTTTATTATTGAATTCAAATTCAAACATTAATTTCAATTACTTACTCAATGGCGAGGTAAAGTAACCATCGAGTATTAAACCCTTTTTTTTCCTGTTCAAAAACCAGAACGGGTGGGAACTGTTCAGCACAATACTGCCACCCGTCCCTGTATCGTTGATTCACCGATTAAGACGAGTATTATACCCTACACGYAATGTACAGCGGATCAACTACCTATTTCAGCCACTTCCCCATATAATTTCAATTGATCGAACACAAATTAATCTAACACTGACTCTGATATAGTATATATTGAATACAAAAGTTAACTGTAGTAAGTAGGTACTGTGTTAAACTCGTGTATCACTGTTTCAGTTCAAATCGTTGGTAAAATTTTTGTTTGAAATTATCGCTGCCTCGTCATTGGTTCTATTGGATATCGTGTTTTACGAAGCATTGGACGTGATCAGAAGACACGCAAAAATCGATTACTTCCAAACCGGACATCACAACATGTACATTAAAGTCAAGGGCACCGGTATGATCGCTAACTTACTCAGGTCTGTCGTGGAAAGGTTCAATTTCAGGAAAAATATCACCGTCAACCTTAGCAACGAAAGTTAGTACAATCCTTATACTCTACAGACTACAGAGAGTAGGTATATCATCGTAATCGTCRCAAACTACTRTAKACATATTAATATGCAGATCAGGCTTACCAAGTAGCTATTATTGCATAATGTTTGGAAATAACGCGTATACGAACGACCATTTATCGTGTTCGTATTTTGGGAACGATCCGTAAACGTCACTTACTTGTATCGAATACATCGTGAATCTGAAAAAAATCATATTTTTAAGAAACTTGGATGACCTTAGGATGTTAAAATTTGAATTCCTTTTTTAAATCAATTTTTTTATGTTATTATATCGAATATCGAAAAGTTATCTACATGGTAAACATACATCGATTTTTAAGTCGTAGGTGTCTTAGAAGCTAAAAATTTMATTTGACTAAGAAGAAAGATATACCAACTGGTATTRCAAATTTGCACGTGGATTTAAATATATTTATTTGTTTGTTTATATATACAAAACTGGCTTGTGTCCCAAGACAATAAAACAAAACAAAATAATTACAAAGTATTTGATAATCAGTCTTTATAATGTCTGAAACAACAACAGCAGCAACATATTAATTAAAAATTAACAGTGGGTCCTAATTGACGATGCGCATAATCCTGAATTAATCATCCTATAAATGCAATATAACCAACCTAACCTACCTATATTATAGAAATAAAAAAAAAACATTTCTTAATTTCAATTTTCTTACAACTGAGATTTTGCTAGATTTTGAACTAATTTTCATATTTTCCTCCGTCTTCTCTTTATTAGGATTAAATTATCAAGTATCTTTAACTTCAAAATCATTAGAAAATACTAGTGGTTGAATGATTCAGGTTCAGATGGTATGTAAAAAAGTTTTTTTTTATTTCGGTGAGGTTATGTCTTCAGCTGGCCTATTTTTTCAAATTGTAATATCATGTCACTCCAAGGAAAATTTTACCCTCATTTTGAAAGGTAAGTCGGGTGATTTCATTTTGAAAATCGAATAATTTACATTATGTCACAAACTACCATCAGCTATCATCAGACTTGCATTTGATGGGAAAGCTATTTGAATCAATTTTATTAAATCACATTGCGCTTATAGGTACTACGCTACCAGTTCTATCAGTCGATCACTATACAAGTTGTTCCCATGGTATTAGGACTATTGCGATTTATTTTACTACTTTTGTRCAGGCAGCTTTTGAATCCAAGTTTATATGGTACAAACTGAATTTTYAKAAGTTTTTAATAGATAGATCGTGGTTCTTTGTTCTTTTATATTTGATTTAGAGTGCTTAGATATCACTATATCAGTGAACAACTTCTATCCTGGATAAAATCCTATTTGAGTAATCAATTCGGTTTGTCGCTTTAATACGCACGTTGTGGTATTCCTCGGAGTATTCACTTATTACTTACTTTTCCCGGGACAGTTATTTCTCTTTATCAAGTTCTTCATTTTGYTGATGACACAAACATATTCTAGACTATTTTGAAAATTGAAGATCGTCTCGTTTATGAATAAGTTTTAGTTACATTTATATTTAAATGTATAGTCCTTGGCTTTACTATCAATATTATATTTTAATATTAGCCACTAGGTACCAACTTACATTAAAGACACGATTAGTAGATATAGGTAATCAGATTTTAAATTCAAATACAGGAACACTTAAATTATTTTAATAAAAATGTAATGAATAAATCAATAACTATATTCAACACATTCCAAAAATGTTAAGTTATAAATTAAAAACAATAACACAAAAATATTATTATGTGTTGTGAGCAGAAAAAAAGTTAACGAAGTAAACGAGTTATCAATGTCCAACTGTTGCTTTGAAAAATACTTTTTGTTTATGTTTAGTGTTTTCACAAACATAAAATATAACGACTGCTATATTGTCATATTGTCCTATCGTTACATTAATTAACGATGATAATAAGTCAATCAAAACATATTAATATTTATTAAAGAAAAACATATACACGGTCATTATTTAATGATCTAACAGTCATATTAATCAATTAATATATAATACATAATAATCATTTAATAGTRGTAATAAAAAAACAACAACAATAATTTAATCATAGGTACTTATGTTAGTTATTATCACAATTATAATAGGTATTAATTATTAATTATTATGTGCCTTCACGACTACACAGACACACAGCTAATACAATCAGTATTTTTCTCATTGCGATGTAATGATTTACACTATATATAATAGGTTATTACTAATATATTGTGATGGGTACCTACGAGGCTACGAATATACTATATAATACCTAGGTACCGATTTTAAACATAAACAACATAATAGTATTATACTTACAATTATTACTTAAAAGTATTATTCTCTCACCAAAAGTTAAATCCCCAATTATCCGTGTAGGTATAATTGAAAAAATACGGATAAAATGAGGGATTATAATATTACTATACAGTAAACGTAGATGAGAAAAACAAATAAACATGATTACCATGGTCTATATCTATAGTATTTTAGTTTTACTACTATAAATTAGTGTCTAATTTAATTCGTCGTCATCGTTAACTTTTAATGGGTGTCGTTAAATCCAACGTAGTTATAATATCGTATCTGGTGGAGACCAAGCCGTGATACGTATACGTATTATACCTATACCTACCTACTTACATACTATATTATATCGTTTGTAAATATCGAATTAATTATTCGACATCTTTTGATGACTAAATATTAATTACGCAGTAAATTATATGCCTATGTATACGTCATGTGTTTATATATTTTTAAAGACATATAGTCGTATCTACAATATAATATGGAAGTCGGGAGATAATAGAATACTTATTATAATAATATATTGTACATCCGACGAAATCGTAAATACGCTGCAATACGTATSATTATACTTGCTACAGCAGTACAGCTGGCTATAGGTAACACGTGCGACGAACGCCGAAACTTGTAGACAGTCACAATATAGCCATTGTAGTACCTATCCTCAATTCACATTAACAGTTTTTATCAAGTGGTGATCAGGCGACATAGTTTGTCACCCCCGCAGAGTTCAACCATCTGTACTCCTGCGGTCCTGCGTAAAGTCGGCCACTGAAGTTCCTTTTTAACTTGAATAGAGTATAGGTGATGGCTTTGAATTAAAATCTAGCAGATAAAAGAGTTGTTAATATTGACATGTATTAAATAGTAATGTTATATTATATAATAAATTATAATAAATAATGTATATTTTATACAGTACACAAGTCTGTTCATGTGTTATGATAAATTGAAATAAGACACCTCGATTTCACCTACCATATAATTTGATCTAGCGTAGATAATATTAACTATATTTCTATAATATAGTATAGTAAATACATAATTTCATAGTAATTATCACGATTTGGCAGTTAAATCTTTTGATTTATTTTTAAAATTTAGCTACATCCTAGTTGGATCTCGAATTTAAAATTGGTATACTAGCTGGGTCCCAAATTATTTTAGTTATTACACTATTTGGGTCCCAAATATTTTTTGTTTTTACTACACTGTGCTAACATTTYCCTTCCTATTTTAGCAAACTTGAATCAAGAAATAGAACTGACTATAATCTATTTAAAGTTTAAKCTAAATGTACAATTAAAAATGTTTTCTACAGTTTACTTTTTTATTTTTAGTATATTCACTATTAAAAATACAAATTGTAAGAATTTTACAAACTATAATTTAATGAAATATTAGGGACAATACCGGGAAAAAATATTATATATTTTAAACATCAAAATACAATTTTTTTAATGTACACATTGTTATATTATATATAAAAAAATTGTTTAAATATATCACTTTTGTGTAGGCAAAGTGTATACGACATTAATTATTGGTATTGTACTTAATATATTTTAATTACCTATATCAAAATTTATAAAATTTTAATAATTTATATTTTTAGAACAAAGAAACTAAAAATAAACTGCAAAAATCATTTTTAAATTCGCTATTGGTTTAAATAGACTTCAGAGTCTTTTAAAATGGATTGGAAAATGTTCCTATAGTTTAATACTCAGGAAAACTAGTAGGTATAATACCTAAAATAGTAAGTTAAGGATCCAACTAGTTTAGTGCCTGCAATTAACCCCTAGTACTTGAAAGTTGGATCTAACTCGAATGCGCCRCAAAATTTGATATTTTTTCACGTTATACGCTAAGAATATAATACATTAAGTTATTGAGTGGCGATTGCGGCGCGGCACCATAGATAGGCAACTCACAATACACCACTTGGTTATGTATCTTTAGTAGGTACATAATACAAGATTTTATTATTAGTAAGTATTTATCACAACACACCAAACATGATGTAACATCAACAAACAGCAYAAACCACATCAAAAAAGCCTCTTTAAATCCTGAGTGTGTATAGTTTATGCAAAATAGTAAGTGTATACAACCTACTACAATAAATATTAAATACTCGGGGACACGTCATGTCATCGACACTTATATTAATATTATTTATAATACTTATCACCAGAATGGTATCGTGCATTTATTTCGTGAACTTACTCATATACAGTTTGTCTTCCGAATCCGCACAAGTTGGACGCGTATTACATGCACAAGATATACGGCACGTTAATGCTGGTGTTTGTCATGACCGTATTCGCCGGGTACTCGGGCCGGCTAAAACGACTGATCTGTGCGGTATTCTTCAGGAAGAGAGAAAAACGACGCGTGCTGTACCTGTACAACGAGACATTAAGGAAGCGAACGGCGTTCTTTAGGTACATGAAGCAAAAGGTGTCGAAGTTGGCCCGCGAAAACAAATTATCGGTTGGTATCCACTTCCAGTGTAGGTACAGTTGAAAGTCAAAAGTTATACACTACAGAGTACACACGCAATTCAACGGACAACTTCGGGGGGGGGGATGATGTATATGTATATGATATATACAATGCATAAACGATTTACAGATATAAGGCTTTTATTTTAGAACCATCGAATCGCGTTGACTTCGTAACAAACTCTGACGTCATTCATTATGCACGTTATCTTTCATTTCCATTACCCACTTCTTTTTATTAATCAGGAAGATCTTGACGTTTTTCTGATGTTGAGACTAAAGTTCCCGACACTATTCGGTTGGCTGACGTGGTTTGCGTGTGGCCGTCGAAAATGTTTGATTTGTGGTGAACTAGAAACGGTTGCCGGCAAACAGTATGGTTGCAACACCGTCGGTTGCGTTTATATACACTGCGAACAATGTTGGAAAGATGTTGGCGTCTGTTATGCCTGTTCAGACACATTCAACAAAGAAGACGACGAATACAATTTAGAAGTGGATGTTACTACCGACGGTTATGTCGACACTGATTATTAGGAATATAAATATWACATATAACATACAATTCATTTAAATCACATCATTAATTTTAATATGATAAAAATCACAATATTATAATAATAAAAACAAAAGTAAATAGATAAATTGTTTAAATTGTTTAAATAAGTTACAATTGTTAAATTATAATTTGCATATTAATAGAAATTTGATATTATTAACTTTCTATATAGATTATCGATACATTTACTATTTTTTCATTAACTATGTCATTTATATTATGCTACAGTTAGACTTCTCTACTACGATCACAATAGGAACCAAAAAATTACAGCTTTACAGAAATGATGGTACCTATATGTTTAGAGATCTTTGAAAGTAAATTATTAACAGAAGTTTTACTGTATTGCACTATTTAATTTATGATATAAACTACTTTATACAAACAAAACAAACTAAATTGTACACAAACGTATAAAAATAAAAATTATTAAGTGATCCACTTATAATATCAATTTAACAATAAGAAATAAAATATCTCCAAATAGATTTGCAACTTTTTTATATACAATATAATATATATCTGTTTATATATTTCAATCATCAATGGTTATAACTTCATTACCTAGATCACTCCTAAAATACAAAATTAAACAAGAATAAAAGTTCAATAATTGTAAGATAATATATTAATATGTAATATTTATAATACTAACCGAAATTCACGTTCAAGATTATTATATTCATCCATAAAAATATCCTTTAAATTTGTTTCTAGTTTCCATAATGCTTTATTAAATATACTTCTTTTTAATTTCTGRGAGCCGTCAATATGTTCAAAACGAATATATTCAATCCACACTTCTAAAAATATAATATAATGTATATCAACTTCATGATTTTTATTAATGTAGAAAATTATACAATTCATTCATTTGTAGCACAATAAGTATAAAGGATATTACATTAATTAAAGGGCTTGTTGGAATTGAGAATCAACCATCTAGTGATGGTAGTTTGACATAAGATTAATAAGAAACTATGATATGTATTAAATTAATTTAAAAATAAAGTCTTAAGGCCATTAATGCATAATAGTTCTTGAAATTTCTATAGATAGTTGATTTTTAACATGAGGGTTGGTATGATTTTAATCATGTCTTCTAAACTGGGAGTAGTGTAGTTTGAGGCATAATTTTACTGACTATTTTTTTATTGAGATGAGCAAAATGCCAATTAACGTAAAACTAGGTTGGGAATGACAAAGGTACTAATAGCTAWATAACATTTTGGTAWTAATACCAATTAATGGTATTAATTGATTTATTATTATTAAATACACTTTATTTAACAATTTGCTTTTATGTTTATAGATAATTTTTCTCAAATTTTAAACTTCAAATAATATTTGTATACTAGATTATTCCAACGGGTGATTGCATCTCGCTAAACAAATATTTCATACATAATATTAATCTTATGTCAAATACTTAGGGCTATATTCGATAGTCAAAAATATGAATTGAAATAATTATAATTATATTGAGCTTATTGTCATTTTTTTTTTTTGTAATTAGTGTAGTTTAATCTAGAAAAATTAAATTCAGAAAATGGCATACCTCATTTGGCACCTCTCAAAGCCATTTCTACTTTATGGTATAGTTCTTACCTGTAATACTACAAATTTTAAGATTTTAAGGGATGCTATCAACTGAAATTGTAATGTTATGTAGATTGGCTTACAATTTTTGTGGGAGAGTACTAATTTTTGTAGCTTCATCACTGCTATTAAAAATGGATTTTAAGACTAAAACTCATACCCCTCATAAAAATCTACTTAGAAAATATTATAATAGTTTATTTTTTTTCCAACACTAAAACTTTTCAACAAATTATATACAATAAATATTTAYGATGTAAATCAAACTTTAATTAACTGGAGATGGTGTGTAGTGGCCAGGTGGATTAAGGCATCAGTTGCAACACAACTTTTAATCTAGTTTTAATCTAGAAATATATCTATCCTTACTAATGTTATCACTGCCAAACAATGTGCATGTAGCATCAAACAATTTTCTTATAATTTCTACATCAATATCTGATTCCTCATATTCAATGGCTATCATTGTTAAATACAATTTACAACATGCTGGCTTTAACAATATTAGTTTAATGAATTGGGTACGAGTAAAATCTATGCCTTTAAACTCTATACACCATTCTAAATATTTAGGTCTGATTTCCATAGAAATATTTTCGTATGATATAATTGAGCCTTCTTCAAGTATTGTTTGAACCTATAAAAATATCAACTCATATAATAAATAAGCATAATATTACATTTATATTTTATAGTGTTGTGAATTTATTTATGAATTGATCGTATATTTCATTTCATAAAAAAAATCTATGTAATAATATTTTCATTCTCTGTCTAGTGCAGGTTTCATGAATATTCGCTAAACATTTAGTAAATCAATTGTGTGCTAATGGTCACTAAACATAGTTTAGTGGCCACTAGATTGGAAATGTTATTGAATTATTAACTTAATATAAATTTTTCATGAAACCTGACATAAGTGAATTGTTCTTTTGATAAAAATTTAAAAATTTAATAAGAAATAGAAAATTATTTAACTACCTATACAATACAATCAATAAAGAAAATTTAAAAATATATATATAATTTAAACATTAAGAAGACATTTTTTAAAAAATAAATTTTTAAATAATCAAATATCAAGAAGCGATTCATTATCAGTTATAACTTATATTAGGGATATAATTATAAGTGTATCATACCATATCTGGACGCCTTCTTTTCAAATGTCTAATTAATATCTTCCATAAAGGTAGTGAATTATTTTTTAATAAACGAACACCTTCATGAAAAACCTTCATCAGCTTATCTAAGTTGTTTAATTTCAAATGAAGCTTTAATAGTTGTATCCAAATTGTTTGATTATCTCCTGTACACGAAACAGCATCCAACAAAATATCTAATTGCTCAGCATTTATACACAATGTCTAAAAAAATAATTACTTTTATAACTTATTGGTCATTAATTTATTATTATTATTGTTATTATTATTATTATTATTACTACTATAAATACCAAATTAATAATAAAAAAACACCTTGTGAAAYTTGTTCAATGTTTATTAAATTATGGATTCTTTTTTTCTCATTAACAATGAATTCTTTGAAATTATTTTTAATCATCATTTAAAGAAACTTAAGAAACTATCTTTTATGAGTATTAAAGTAGTATAGTATTTAGTAAATTAAATAATGTGATTAAAATATATCAAAATCAAAATTATTTTTAAAACATCAATATAAAATGGCACAAGTAGAATATTTGAAATTAAAATACTTGAAAATCTTTCTTTTATAATTATCTACTATTATGAAATAAATTAATATTGAAACAGCATTAAAAGCTACTTAAAATAATTATATAATAAAAGTAATTCTATTTCTTTTTATTATGCGGTAAAACATCAAGATAAATGACATACACTGGTACACTTTAATAATTTTTCTGTTAACTCTTAATAATTCTTTGATCAGGGCACTATCTTAAGGAATAATCATACTAGCATTTTACACAAATTATCACTTAAGGTAATAATATAGGTAAAGGAAAAGTATTAAGCTGTATGAATTTAAGTATACATAAGATAATCTAACAAAATATTTATTATTTCTATATAAAGTTATTAATTGGTTTAAGTAAATAACTACGTACCTTGACTCAAAATTGCTATACCAATCATTAGACTTTAATAAACTAATAATAGAAACTCACAATAAAATGTATAGAATAACTTAAAAAATTATAAAAATGAAAAATACTTAAWATGTTCACCTACRTTGTCTAGACAAAAATTGATATAACAAGATAACAATTCCACTTCGATGGAAAACAATATATGCATATGATCAAACAAGTAAGTAATGCGTTTGCACAAACTGACTAGTATTTGGGTATCGATAACATCATCAGTCTTCTCCAACTCATCCTATAAAATAATAAGAATGTTAACATCATACACAATATTTAAAACATTTTTATGGKTGTRAAAATAAAAATTACTTTGATTTTGTGTTTACAAGCATTAAGCAAACTCAACTCTACTCTAAACTGCGACAACAACTCATGCTTGGTGATCACCTTGTTAGTTATTTTTTCATTGACTGATATACGGTCATTGTTCAGCTCACTAAACAAACCAAAAAGGTTAGGTTGGGCAAACATTGATTTATTGCAGTGTYACAAAATATATCAGTGTATACTTACGTGAACTCATCCCATTTCAAAATGTTATATTTCTTTAAAAACTCATTTTCACGATCCATTCCGTTTGGGTAACTAACAGTTGCAATGGTTTGTTCATATACAAATAGAAAAATTAATTTTATTAAAATAACAATAGCTGAATGCTAACTTTTATGTATTAGTTAGTACATTATGGGAATCTAATTTTTAAGTCTTAACTCTTTTAGTCTTTTATACTCTGTAATATTATGTTCAATGTTGTAGTTCTGTCTAATTAGTTTTCTTATCATCACAATCGTATGGTAAACAAAAACTAACATATTATAACCTCCAAACAAAGAATAATATTACCCTATACCTCCATAATCTATAGAGAGTAGGGATCAACTTCAAAATTCTAATACAAGGTATTAAATATAGATAGTTAAAATAAATTAATAATAATATACACAAAATTGATATTGTATTTTGTGATCGTGACAGGAAAATATGTTAGTAACATAATATTATCTTACAAGCTTTTTTAGAACAAATTACTAGTGGAACTAATGTTCAGTGGATAAATTGGTTACCTACTGAAAGAAATATTTTTTGAAGCAATAATGAAACATTTTTTCATTAACACTAAAGTAATTTATAAATAATACAATTTACGATAAATACAAGACGGTTAATTAATATTTTACTACACGAAATTATAGGCAGCTAGGCTTACTATACAATATTTATAATTTTCTGTACTTAAATAGAGATCACCTGGCGTTATACGATAGGCACTAAATATACAGTTTGTAGTATTTAAAAAAATATAAATTCGATATTGCTCAAAGCTTTCTTGAAATAAATAAAAATTTGGTTTCTGAAATAGGAATATTGACCAAGATGTCATTTCCATTATCACATRACGGTATTTAACATACAAATTATACGGCACATAAACATGTAGACATAATATAATATAGTTAAGTTATAAAGTTATACATGATATTATAGTGTTATATGATATATATATGGTAGTACGTTTAAACTATATATAGCGTCTTCTTAATTCTTAATAAATAAATACATATTTCACTTCACAGTCTTGCACATAAGATAGGTAGATATGTTTATTTGTAAAGCATTCAATAATCATTTTTAAAAATTTTTTTTAATAATTAATAAATTTGATATCACACTCATCGACATTTAGATGAAATATTGTAGATTTTCCTATTTCTTAACTTGTATACTAGTTTAGATTGTTCAATTGATAAGAAAACAAGATTAGGTACATAAACTGACAGAGTCCAATAAAAGATATTAATATATGATATATCATATTATATTAAAGTATTAAATAGAACTTTTGTTACTAAACTTTAATAAATAAAATATAGCTAAGTAATAATATTTATTATTTTTTTTTTTTTTTTTACATAGATTAATTCACATAAAATTCATTTTACTTAAATATATCTGAAACTTCAGATGTTGAGGAGGAAACTGTCAAAAATATCAAATCAACTCTATTTTCATAAAAAATCTGATTTAGATACTTGATAAAATATTAATGAGTTTATATTTTCATAGATTCACCTATTATAATATCTATGCATATTTTCAACTAATTTGACTACAAAATAATGTGCTATTTTTTGAGTTTTTAACAGAATAAATAACTTGTACATTTTATTTAAAAAAAAAAATTATTATTCCATTATAGTAGACACATCAAGCCCATTCAATAATTTACATTTTATTAAAATGTATTTCTATCCTTTTATTTATTTAAATTTGCAGAAATATGAAATTGGAAATCTATACTGTAAACGAAGCTTGTTTATTAGTTTTAAATTGTAAATACTAGGAATGTATTCATAATTTACAAATTATATTGTTTGAATAATTTATTGTATGATGCAATATCCTCATGGCTCACATTCTTGGATTGCGACTATATTTTTAGGGAGTCATGTTAAATATTGATATAATTTTGTATTTTTAATAATATACAAAATATTTAATATTAGATTACATTAAAATATATATTTTACGTATGATTTCGAATATCGATACAATATTTCCCATTATGTACCTAGTCATATAAAATACACAAATACACAAATATTGTAGTTCAATGTTCTAATTTAATTTTTTCATTGGTCATCATCCACGACGATTTCAACTTACAAGATACCTACGTCCTACATGGCATCTCAATGGAACCATAACGATGTCGCTTGTGAAACTAAAATTTATCACAGAAATAGTGACCAACAATGAAACAAAAATAAAAGGTTATTAGTGTGGGTTTATCAAAATAGGTCATACAATTAACATTTTGGAAACATCTATTCGAGGCCGTCTCTAAAAAGGGTGATTTCACCCTTTCTAGAGCCCTTTTTAATAAGCTTAGTTTTGTTTTGATCATAAAATTTCAATTCACATGGTGAAATGGGACAGGCATACTTGTAGTACTATATATGCTATAATATATTACATTGTAATATCTTTAACTTAAAAAAAATAGAAAATCTCAAGTGATATCTTAAAAAAAGTCGAAATATTTAGAAAATTTTAGTTTGTTTCGTAAACAAATAAGTAAATAAAAATTATTAGACCAAATATAATTTTTCGCATCAAAACATTGTATTAGCGATAAACTCTTATATGACGTATCAGGATTTTCTACTACTTCCGACTCGCATCATTGACCTGTCATTTTAATATAAGTGCCGAGGTAAACATACATAAACTCAATCCATGGTGTAATACATTTTATATCAAAACAAAATTGTTTAAAACCATCAATCATCATGTACTTATAAGTTATTGGTAAAAGACATAAGTGTATAACCAAGTTATATGTATTGTGTAAATACCTACGGGCTATGATGTGTATATACTATATAATCTACATTTTGATCACGCTGAGGATATAGCTGTATATAGGATATCCATACGTCGCAGTAGTATTATTATTATTCAATTAAATTAAGACGTAGTTCGAAAAAAAAATATTCGTAACTGGTATTGTTATTTAAAAGAAAATATGTCTGTACTATTTCATATATATATATATATATGTATATAGCGACTATGGGTGAACGTTGATCTCTTACAACGGTTCCTTGTTGATACAATATGTTATATTATGTCAAGTTTCATGTAAGTTATGAGGTAACTTATTTATTATTGTTTTTGCCAAGGCTATAACCTATATTATAACAATAAACATTATGTATAATATTGTTTATTATGCGAATGTCTTCAAGCTATGAACATTGATAAAGTCGAAACCAAATTTTTAGTTCGCTGATAAAATACTGCTCAGTGCTCATACCATCACCTAAAAAGTATAAAGGCTAAAACCTAAAACATTATTATTTTTCACTATTTCAAGTTCTTCATCAGATAGCTGTTTCCTTCATAATATTGATTAATTATAATATAATGACTAAATCCTACGCTGTGCATAATAATAATAAATAACAATATCATCACACAAACACACACACACACACACACACACACACAACACAACACACTACAAACATTCTATATAGCCTTCGTCCTTCCGTCACCTACGCATATAGAAAATCCATTGATTGACGCGCACTAGTCAATGAACCCTCGGAAACTCATTGTTGTTGAATATAGCGTATATTATACACTTATTATATACGAGTTGTGATCGTCAGTACTTTAAATTATAGCATAATTATAATAATATATATTAGATTATTACAAATGTCACAGACACCGATATTGGGATTAATGCGTTGTAAACAGTACACTTGCACGACAATCGTAATGGATTTATAATTTAATTTTTTTTTTCACAGTAGTTTTTAGCTTTGAAATTTATATCAATCAAACACGATTTATGAAATACATAGCTCAGTAATAACGTAAAATCTATAATACAATTCTTAATTTGGTTAACAGCAGAATGGGCGTCAATGTCATATACATATACAATATTATAATATTCTTTTCAATCAGGTATGAGTGTATTATCACGATTTTTACTATATTATTATTATCCTCTAAAACCAAAAGTATCCTAAGCTGATATTTGTATATATTAGAAGCATTTTAATAATATTAGTATTATGTATTATATTTTTGTATAAGAATCCCATCATGTAGAAATTACGTCCTAGACTTTAACGGAAATAAAAACATACTACATATATGAATAGGAAGGCTGTTTTTGTCTCGGATCTATTTTTTCCTAAGCTTATCATCGTTTATAAATTATTAATACCTATATCATAATTATAAATATAAAATCAATAAAATTTAATTGATATTAAAAAACTAAATAAATAAACTGTTTTAGATATAATAATATTTATACGTAAATTGTACGAGGGCATCGCCCTTCATCGGGATACTTGTTCAGAAAATCTCATGGATTTTTTAACTGAAATATTTTTATTAAGCTATTTGATTATTTTATAGCCCAAAATACACCTATTTATTTAAAGTTGTGTCAGCACCAAATCGATAAGCACAAATCGTTTTTAAACGAATCTGAAGTTCAAATTTTGAATTTTGAATAGAAATTGTACACATAATTTTGACTTGAATAATTTCGAGCACATTTTTCGTATTAAGCGTCCAAAATACATTCAAGAAATTTACGTTTTACTATATGTTTCAAAGAATATAGTTCAGATTCATATTATACTACGGTTTCCTAATTGGTTAACATGGTTAACTAGAGGCATTTTTCTAGGGGTCGGGCTATAATTATATTAGCAACAATGATCTCAATAGGTAATTCTTGGTATTTTAAATTAAAATATGATTAAAAAACTAGTGGGAAGAAATTAATTAGTTTAATAGCAATAATAATGGTGRCAACGTTCCAGCCCAATCCTGCGCAGAAACAAGGTTTATACTAAGCGGCTGCAGGTGTTCAGCAAAAAGTGAAATTTCAAATTAGGTTATGTTATGACAATGGAACTTTTAAACGTAAAATKTTGTTTATAATAATGTTTATATAATAATATTTTTAAATTAGAAATACTAATTCATAGATTTATTTTAATATTAATAGCGAATAAATAAGAACAAAGACCAAAGACGTATTAAGGGATGGAACTTTTTGAATTAACATAATATAGTATTTGCGTTTATAATAACTGTAATCTATTTTAAATTTATAAAATATATTAATACGAGTATAAAATAAAATAAATATTCAACCACTTTTATGAATATTATAAACATAGTTTATTTAGTTAACACTTTTAAAATTAATTTTCAC